GGTACTTTTGTGTACCATGGTGTAAAACATGGTCATAGTTATACTTCTCAACAATGTACAATTAATTTAGTTAAAACTTTGTTTGAATCATCTTCAACAGTTGCTAAATCATTATCATGTGCTAAAACAAAATCAAGAGCTATTGCTTGTAATGTTCTTGCTCCATATTTTACACGTAAAATACTTGATGAAGTATTAGAAGCACGTTTCTATTCGATATCATTTGATGCTTCGAATAAAGGAAATACTAAAACTTATCCATTTGTTGTACAATATTTTTCTGATATTGATGTAAAAAAAGGTAAATATGTTTTACTCTTTGAAATTTATTTTTCATTTCTATCTTTAATTATAACTATCTTACGTTTAGGTCTTATTGATTTTATTGAAGATTCACGTGAAACAGCACTCGACATATTTAATAATATAATCAAAGTAATTGACAATCATCAATTGAATATTCACAATTTGACGAGTATTGGTGCTGATAATGCTAATGTAAATTTCGGTGAATATCATTCAGTATTTAAATTATTTAAAGATCGTTTACCACATATTTTCAAAGGTAAATCTAAGTATTTATTGTAGATTAATTTTAATATATTTTAACTTCGATCTGCATAGTTATTCTATTTATTTATAGGCAACTGTTATTCACACGTGTTACACAATGGAGTTAAAAATGGACTTGATGTTTTGCTAATCGATGTTGAACTTATTTTATGCAAAATTTATTCTCATTTTTTCAGATCGGCCAAACGTATTGAACAATTAAAATCCTATTAGGAGTTCGTGCAGGTAGAGTACCGAGTAGGTTGTCTAACAGATTAGCGCCAGACAAAATGCTAAAGAAATCTACAGAAGTTGCATATTTATTTTTCAGGTTTTATTACAACATATAAATATTAGGTGGTTAAGCTTGCTACGTTCAATTGAACGATTAATTGAAACATATGAACCATTAAGACTTTATTTTTTAAATCATCAAACAACAATAAAAAAGTTCACCACGGCAGCTGAAAACATGCAAATTTTAATATCATTTTTTAATAATTCTGATGGTTTATGTACTTTAAACTTTTTAGAAATTGTACTAGATGATATTCAACAAGCTGAATTCAAACTGCAACGTACATGGACAACAGCTGTTGATCTATATCGTATTATTACTAATTTAATTAAAAAATTAGAACAACGATTACATAATAAATATTTTGGAAATGAAGTCCATTTGATATTTAATCGATTAAAAGAAGTTGACAAAAATAGAGTTGAAGAATTACAAGAATCATTTGAATTATTCATAAAAACTGTTGTTGAATATATCAATTCGTATTTTAATCCTGAAAAAGAGTTCTATGAAATATTGTCAGTTTTAGATAGTCAATCGATTCACTTTCTTGAATGGGATTACTTTATGAATCTTGTCAATTTAATCAAAATAGATGGTATAAATATAGATGAATTATATAATGAATATTGTGAAATTAAGTTTATATACGATAATATGAAAAATAAAAATGTTACAATAAATGAACAAATAAAATCATATATTTCTAGTAAAAATGTTTATAATTCAGAATCAGCAACAAATAATAATTATGAAATTTTATGTGACATCATTGATAATGAAAAAGATGATGTATTAAATAAAGATCAAGATTCAAAAGGATTTATTCAGTCTGATCAGTTATGGTCATATTTGTTGAACATCAAACCAAATACTACACCAAATTTGAAATTGATTATTTCTTATGTATTTTCCATTCCTTGCAGCAATGCTTTTGCTGAAAGTATATTTAGTCACATGAATCACCTATGGTCTGATTATCGAAATAGAATGGATATGGAATTAGTTGCTGCTGAATTACAAATTAGAAAGAATGCTAATATTTCTTGTAATGATTTTTATAAATTTATTTTATCTCAAGAAGATTTATTAAAAAAAATAGCATAAATGAAAAATTTGATAAAAAGAAACGAATTCTTGATAAATGAACTTTAGTTTATTTTTTATACGAAAGTTTTGATTTGTAAACATATGTACATATTTTATTTTGCATTGTTTTTTTCCTTAACTACATCTTTTTTGTGAAAGTAACGGTCCACAATAACGAATTAGCTGAAGCACTTTTCTTCACTATGAATGAATTATGTAAAAATAAATGATATATCAAAAGCAAACAACATATTTTCCTAACGAAAACCTCAGTATTTACATCAAAATGTTAGATAATTGTTTCCGATTTTTTTTTCTGAAATTATAGAAAATGGATTCCGAATTTTTTCGAACTTTTCGGAATTCAAATAGAAAAAATCCGATTTCTAGGTTTTCAATCTGGCATCCCTGATCACTAGAGTATTATAATGATAAATATATGAGCAATCAATATCAGTTTATACTATATAAAAAAACAAGAGAATACGTCATCATGCTATAAAAATAAAAACAAAAATTTCATATTTTAACTCAGGCTTTCTATTGATTGGACATAGCTATATAATGCCGAAAATCAAATATATTTACCTTTAAGTAATTCCAAAATATATAGAACTATTTTGCGTGCTCGCTACTGATTTTTCTTCATATTTATTGTTGACAAAATTACTGGGTTTTTTCCAACGTAGATATAATTATGAAAATCAATGAAGTGTGACATTTTCATAAGGTAGGTATTATTTAACAGGTAGATTGTTTTATATCAACGTGCTTATCATCGCGCTTATTTCGTTCTGTCAAGAAGCGTCTTGTTTTTTCGCTTCTCTTAGGGCTTTGTTGTTTTATGATACGAAAATATACGATAATGTTTACATATTTGAGCAGATTGCAAATTAATGTCGGACTTGTTTTTCTGATGAATAAACGAAGTATTAATTTTTGGACTTTCAGACAATACTCAAAGTATAAAAAAAAGTATTTAAGTTGCATTTAACGCATTAGTTTCAAAATATTCATTAAAAATTTTCTTGAATTTGATTATTTCGCAAGAAACTGAGATCATTTGAATACTTTCATTAGGTTTACATGATTTTTGTTTTCCGCAGTTTCAATATTTCGACACATCGAAATCAATACACTAGTCCAATGAATTATAAAATATCTTTATTCCAACAAATTTCATTATTACAAGAAAATCAAAATTTTTCTGCTGTGTTATTTTTCTTCATTTTCATCTTATGCTCTTGATCATTTGTGAAGCATAAAAGTGATTAGATTATTTTCAAGACTCTTTGCATTTTTTCAATGTATGACGTGGATTTGGTGACACGTGCACTGTATGTTTATTGAATGCTTCAATCATGATGATAGAAAAAGAAAACAATCATATAACGAAAACATTTACAATACCAATGTATATAACAACAACATTTTCGTATTAGTTAACAAGATTAAAATAGCTTAACGATTTGCAAGCACGACGATATGCAACATCTGATATTTTTAGGGGTGAGAAAGTTATTGTTATTGTTATTAATAACAATAAAATTAACTTTTTGATTCAAAACAATCACTGAAACAATTCTAAGCATAGTTTGTACGAACATCAAAGGATCACTTTAGTAATACAGTGCCTTTTCTAACCATTTGATATAAGAACTTCTGGTGAATATTTTGAGAAATTTCAAAATAACATATTTTGTTATTGTTATTGTTATTTAGCAATAACAATAACAATAACAAAATATGTTATTTTGAAATTTCTCAAAATATTTACCGCAAATTCTTATATCAAATGGTAAGAAATGATACTGTATTACTAAAGTGATCTTTTGACGCTCATACAAACTATGCTTAGATTTGCTTCATTGATTGGTTTGAATCAAAAATTTAATGTTATTGTTATTAATAACAATAACAATAACAATAACTTTCTCACCCCTAGATATTTTAGTAGACCTTTTATCTTCAGTAGAAATATATGTCCGTCTAAAAGGGTGACCGATCAATTCGTCGCACGATAATTCGTCGCACATGTATTGTAAAGAATACTTTGATTGAATTAAGTAATTTAGTTTAAAATATTATACAATTAATCGCCTTAACAAAAATTTTCTTTCGACTCATAAAAATCTTTTTTCAGAATACAATAGTTTTTCAAAAATAAAATAGAGATGTCAATTTAAAACCCCATTTTAAAATTTAATTAAAAAAATTAAAGTTTGATTTTAAATAAAATTCTGTGTTGACAAGTTAAAAATAAAGTCATTTTTTTGTCATTAAAATTTATGTTTTCAATAAATAAAAAGCTTTAATTTTTTTTAATTTAGATTTGTAAAATTTTTTTTCAATTTTATATTTTTGTTTTAATTTTCAGCTTCTTTTTAAATAAAATGTTAAATTTCAATTGAAAAAAATGAACTTTATTTTTAATTTGTTTACATAGAATTTTATCTAAAATCAAACTTCAATTTTTTTTAATTAAGTTTTAAAATAGGCTTTAAATTGATATCTCTATTTTATTTTTGAAAAACCATTGTACTCTGAAAAAAGATTCTTATGAGTCTAAAGAAAAATTTTTATTAAGGCGATTAATTGTATAACATTTTAAACTAAATTACTTAATTCAATCAATGTATTCTCTACAATGCATGTGCGACGAATTTTTTTGCGACGAATTGTACTAGTGCCTCTAAAAGGTCGATGCGTGTAACTGTTTGTTGAATAACACAAAAATGCAAACAACTAGAGACCTGCGGTTTTCATCAGTTGAAGGAGGTGATATCGTAACGTATTTTTTTCCTATCTTGTATAGCACGAAGTAAGTTTAAAATCAACTATTTTTACAAAATCTTGAAAAAATCTATGAAAACATTCTATCGCTGAGTGTAATTTTTAACAAAAGTAAGAAAGTTCAAGAGAAATTTGTATTTTCCAAGGGAGCAAATAGAGAATTGTATTTGCTTCATATTAGAAGGTGTGAAGACCATCATTTAAATTATATCTTAAGCTATAGATCTGAAGACCCTCTATCGAGATCGCCTATTAAAACCAAAATCTCATCGAAGTAATAGACCATTATCACGCATATTTTCCAATGTGTTGAGGAAATGATTGATTTTAAAATGAGTTCATCTTGCGCAATATCGAAGAAAATGACGTCCACGTATCACCTCCTTCGACTGGGGAAAACTGCAAGTCTCTAGCTGTTTCCGTTCTTGAGTTATTCAACAAACAGTCACACGCACGTATTTTTTGGACAGACTATATTAACAGATCCACCTATTTATCAATCAATTAAAAAATTTAAAGCCTGTGCACACATAAAACCTTATGCAATTGCTGAAGAGAGTGTGCATGTTAGTATAAAGGAGAATTCAATGTTCACACACACACATTAATTCTCTTATTTGAAAATCTTTGGAAAATCTTTTAGATAAACAGATACTATGTTTTTAATTGTACATCATCAATGTTTATGTACCTAGAAATAATCAAATATTCGTACAGTATTATCTAGTAGATTAGGATCTTATAGATGACCTAATATCAACCATTCATGGTATTTTAACTCCAGTAATAAAAAAATGAATTAGTTCAACAACTATTGATATCACAATATCTATTAATAAGTGTTTCAGACTTCGATATCAACATCATTTAATGATAAGACATGTGAAAATTCTGAATAGTCGTAGAAAAATTTAAGAAATTCGCAGTCTATGAGTATTTTGATTTCAAACTGAATTTTGGAAAAAAAAATTTCGCCAACTTTCCTAAAACACACGCGGTTAGAGGACCAAAAAAAAGCACAATTGCTAAGCACTATATAGCAAACGTACACTAATCTTCACCTAAGCAACACATCGAGATATCGAACGATTCAACGACAGAGTCTTAACTCAAAAGCAGAACCCATTTCAGTGAATCATCTTTGAAAAAAATTTAGGATCATCAAAACTACATCCTATCCTTATCTTCATAGCTCTAGATCCTTTTTTTCTACACACAAGGGCTAAATGGGGTCTTACGAAGCATTAAGAATCATTTCTTATTTTCATAGCTATAGACCCCTTCTTTTTCTAAAGATAAGGGGTCTACAGGGTCTTGGAGGATCTATAAAAATATTTATTATATTCACAGCTGTAGACCCCATTTTTTCTACAGATGTCGGGTTTAGGCTGTCTTTGGTGGTCTTTAGAATTATTCATCGTATTCGTCGCTATAGACCCGCATTTTTCTAGAGGTGGGGGCGGGGGAGTCTTCGAAGGTCTTTAGAAATATTAATTGTAATAATACCTATAGATCCACTCTTTTCTAGAGACGGGGGAGAGTCTTCATGGTCTTGGACGGTCTTTAGAATTATTCGTCATATTCATCGCTATACACCCACCTTTTCTAGAGGTAGGAAGTCTAGGTTGTGGGCGTGGGTTTGGCTACACGTTGGAAAATAAGTGCACTTACACCCACACCCCACCCAAGGTTGTGTGATGTGATTATCGTAAATATTATTTCTTCATAATTTTAGAGTTCAACTATTCCACGCAGTCACAAAATGCATCAAATAAATAAAATTTGTTCTTAATATAAAAAACAAACTTTAGTATTATTTCTCTTTTCATTATTAATTAAAAAAATGAATTAATAAACCTTAATGTCAAAATTATGATAGTTATTTTAAAGAAATGATAACAAAACCAGAAAACATTCTCTCGTTTTGATATGCATCAATAATTGCTAAATATTATTTTTATCAAGAATTTAAAAAAGAGCGAGTTTTAATCGTTGAGTGATAAAGAATATCGAAGACTCCGTATAAAATATTGCATTTTAACATCATATAGGAAAAGAAAAAAATTATATTTAATGATTTTCCAAAGGGAGTCAAACAAAACAGCTGTTTATTACGATACTCTAGAAGTTTTTCAATCAATATATCAAAATATATTTATCAACAAATGTGCATGATAATCCTTCCGGTGGCTTATCCGAATTATGTTCATCAATGTTTTCGATATAATCGGATTCGGACTTCGCATCACCTTTAGTATTTGAGTGAAACTCGAATACCATCTAGTTTTTCTAAGATGCGAAGCACTTTATATTACCGCGTCGCGAGTTTACTTTTTTTAATGCGCTGCTAAGGAGAGCATTTATTTAGTGATTCTTTAGTTTTCTTTTTTTCGCACTTTTTCCTTTCTCAAAATACGCATGAAACTCATCATTTTCTGTCGTGATGATTTCGAAAACGGAAAATGGCAGGTTTACTGTTGAAACGCAGTTCAAAATAGTACCTTTTTTATCTGACCTAATGTTGATTTTTCCCTTTTTTCACAAATAGTGTGCAAAAAAGATGATTTTGAAAGGTTGTTGTTTAGAGATAATTAAAATAAATTATAATGAGTCATGTAGATAAAACCAATCAACCAAAATGGTTCTAATTTACAAGGAGATTAGTAGGGTCCAATAGAGTTCCCGAATAAAAAAGGATGGTTTCTAAACTTTCGTAGAGTTTTCATAGTTATGTCGTTTTATGTTGCCACTATGATTAAGGGTGTGTGGAGGTGGGTGTAGTTTTCGGAAGAGTACTACATACCACACCCACACCGACGCCCGCACAGCCATACCCCATTCTTACCCACACACAAACACATACACAGCCATATCCCATCTCTTACTCACACCCACACAGCCATACCACACTCTTACCCACACCCACACAGCCACACGCCACTCTCACTCACACCCACACCCCCCTCTCACCCACAGCCACACCCCACTCTCATTCACACCCACATCCCACTCTCACACACACCCACACCTCACTCTCACCCACACCCACACCCCACTCTCACCCGCATCCGCACTCCATTCTCACCCATACCCACACTCCACTCTCACCCATACCTCACTCTCACCCACACCCAACTCACACCCACACCCCACACTCCACTCACACCCATACTTCACTCTCAGCCACACCCCACTCTCACCCACACCCACACCCACACCCAC